GCGGGATCTTTATCTTTGTTGCGTTGGTGTGTTGTGCGCTTGCCAACTCATACTCATGAGGGTGGGGGCCCGGCCCTCTTCACGTGAGCGGCCTTCAGGCGACCCGCCACCGTGGCCCAATCGCAAGGGGGAGCCCTCTCCAGGCGGTCTGGGTCCGAGTGGAAGGCCCGCGCCAGGTACGCGTCGATGTCCGGCTGGTCCAGGCAGGGGTCGACGCGCAGGAAGGCGGCGCGGAGAGACGACACCGACACCTCCCTGATCGCCGTCGTCACCATCACCACCATCGTCAACAGCACCACCATCATCAACATTAGCATCATCACCATCACCACCATCGTCAACATTAGCATCGTCACCATCACCACCATCGTCAACAGCACCACCACCATCATCAACATTAGCATCGTCACCATCATCACCATCGTCAACAGCACCACCACCATCATCAACATTAGCATCGTCACCATCACCACCATCGTCAACAGCACCACCACCATCATCAACATTAGCATCGTCACCATGATGATGTCCTTCCCCCGCTGGCGCGCGTGACTGCAACCTCATGGCCTAGCCCAATACCAAATAGGGACCCATTGCAATGACTCAGAGCTTATGTGAACTCCATGTGTTCAGGTCAATGTTGCCACGTCTTCCATCAATACAAAGACAAATGTGCCCCGTATAGCCATAACAGACTGTTGGGGCAAGTGCTATTAACGAGCAGCACGTATAAAAGGCTGAGAACGGCACGCGAGGGGTTGTGTGGCCAGTACCCCACGTGCCCGCCTTTGCCTCCCCAGTGGCGATGTTTACACACTGCTGCAGGTACTCATTTGAGGCTGAGTCAACCTCGTGGAGGCCCTGGACCAGTTCAAATTAATCGCCACCGGTGTTTGTGACGGTGAGCTGGAATCGAACTCGGGTCGCCGGGCTCGTAGAGTGGCGCCCAAACCGCTGCGCCACCGCTCCACACCGCCAATGACCGACGTGGCCACCGGCGATCGTGAGCCGCTCGCTCTACTGCTGCCGAGCCACCTGGCCGGACATCGGGACCAGCCACGCCAAGTCACCGCAACGACAATGACGACATACTCTTAGTTCTTTCGGTAAAGTCACGTAGGTAAAAAATGAAATTAAAATTAATAAAAAATAAACAAATAAAAATCACGACGTTTCGGAGGCAACACAAGCTTCCGTCTTCAGGTGAAACTGTCACAGCAAGACGGAAGCTTGTGTTGCCTCCGAAACGTCGTGATTTTTTTTTATCAATTTGAATTTAATTTTTTACCTACGTGACTTTACCGAAAGAACTAAGAGTATGGATCCTTGCAGTCACGAAAGCTTCAAATCTAGAAGACAATGACGACGATGACGGTGAGGATGATCGCGGTGGCGATGGTGGTGGCGAGATGTTAACTATATCGCCTGGTATACAGAAGGTCGTGAGTTTGATCTCGATCCTGATGGCTGTATAGTTGGAGTTTTCTCTCCTTGGTCGCGTCCATTTTTCTCCAGGTCCTCCAGTTTTTCCCTCCACATTTACAATCAACGTGCATTTATAACATTTGGCTGATATAAATGTACACGTGACAAGCCACTTCGTTGAGCTATCATTTGTGATAACCAGGTCACTTCTGAAAAATATCTACACAGCTCAGTGGGGCTTTAACCTGGTAAAATAAAAACGTACAATAAAAATCACGACGTTTCGGAGGCAACACAAGTCTCCGTCATCAGGTGGGAGACTTGTGTTGCCTCCGAAACGTCGTGATTTCATTGTTTTACCCACGTGACTTTACCAAAAGAACCAAGAGTATGAATCGTTGCCATCACGAAAGCTTCAAATCTAGAAAAAATAAAAACGGTTTGGTTTGGTTTGGATGGTGTGGGTTGTATCGCATACCCCGTGTCTCCCACTGCCTCCTCCACCTCCTGCAGGTAGAGCAGCTTCTCCTCGTGCATCTGCCTGTGCAGCGTCTGCATGAACTCCTGCGAGCTGAGCGACTCTCCCTGCTCGTCCGCACAACACATGGGCATTTCCGCTCCTTTTCTATTATGTACATCAGTGGCGGCTCCTGCAAAATCTCTCAGGGGGGGCAAATGTCTGGATGATTGATAAGGATAAGGTCCACCCATGCAATGGATAAATTAACAGCTTAAGCATGTAAAGGCAACTTCACTTCTTTAATATTAATGAAAAATAAAGTGACTCTTACAATACATCTTGTTTGTTTCTATACTCACTATTAATACAATCCACTCAAGTTTCTTTTATTAAAGATTCCACTAGGTGGCGACAAATTATATTGTTGGATGAAACGTGCTTACGTATGATGACGTAAGCACGTTAGGGCGAGCCCTCCCGGCAGCCATAGAGAATGCACTGCAGCGCCCCCGTTCGAAAAAAAACATCTTTGAATGTAAGTCTATGGGGCCACTCGGGGCGATTTTCAGCCGGAGTGAAATCGCCCAAAAAGAGGCGGTACTCCACAGAACGTGACATGACGCTGATTGGACTATATCCAGAGGCACAGTGACGGCTAGCGTGACTCTGTGGTTGAATGACATTGGTGGTGCGTCGCCCAATCGCCCTAATGAAGAAACCGCCCCTGATGTACATCCACAGTTACTTGTGCAACACGTCCCTGACCACGAGTCCATTCATCCCACAGCGACTTGCGCACAAACAGCATAACCAAGAGCGGCTTAATCGTATCTAATTCATTTACCCACCCAGCAGTATAACAAAAGCAGTAATTGACCACTTCACAACTCCTCCTCCCCCGCTGCCCTTCCTGGCTCCTCCCCCCTCTACCACTATATAAGGTACAGGTATTTTGCTGTGACGGTTTCACCTAAAGACGGAAGCTTGTGTTGCCTCCGAAACGTCGTGATTTTTATTGTTTTATTTGTATGAATTTTAATTAAATTTTTTACCTACGTAGTGACTTTACTGAAAGAACTAAGAGTATGAGTACAAAGATCCCCCCCCCCACCCCCCGTGTAGCCTTTAACAGACGGTTGGGACAAGGGCTGTTAGCGAGCATCTAATTAAGGCCGTAAAGGCACAGGATGGGGTGGTGTGGGACTGGTACTGCTGGTGCTGCTGCTGGTGCTGTTGTTGGTGGTGCTGGTGGTGGCGGTGGTGCTCGTGGTGGTACTGGTGGTGGTGCTGGTAGTGGTGCTGGTGGTGGTGCTTGTGGTGGTGCTTGTGGTGGTGCTGGTGGTGGTGCTGGTAGTGGTGCTGGTGGTAATGTTGGTGGCGGCGGTGGTGCTGGTGGTGGCGGTGGTGCTTGTAGTGGTGCTGGTGGTAGTGCTGGTGGTAATGTTGCTGGTGCTGGTGGTGGCGGTGGTGCTCGTGGTGGTGCTATTGGTGGTGCTGGTAGTGGTGCTGTTGGTAATGTTGGTGGTGGCGGTGGTGCTTGTGGTGGTGCTGGTAGTGGTGCTGGTAGTGGTGCTGGTGGTAATGTTGGTGGTGGCGGTGGTGCTGGTAGTGGTGCTGGTGGTAATGTTGGTGGTAATGTTGGTGGTGGCGGTGGTGCTAGTGGTGGTGGAGATGGACCTCAGTGAAGAGGGCCCGATAAGGGATGGAGGCGTCGATGCTGTCCAAGCCCAGCTGAGCACAGGCCCCCTGGTGGAGCTCCGCGATGAGGCCCTCCTCCTTGAGAGGGAAGGCACGGTGGAGGGCATCCCTGCACACAAGACAGAGAAATGACGCCGCTTTTCGGTTTAAACGTGGTGATGAGTTGTTCTTGATAGAGAGCCCACCTTCACACCGAGTGCTGTACACACGATACGCAACTTACACCTCATCTCATCACAAACGTTCGGAGGGCACCCCCAGTGGCAGCTCTCCCTGTGCAGCACAAGGTGACTCAGCGTCTCTGGGCCGCGAACGTGCAGCACAGAAAAAATTATTGCTATAATCCCAATCGAGCAATTTGCGGTGTCATCTTTCGAATTTGGAAAATTTTGACCCAAGACGCTGGAGCACAATGGCCGACTCATTTCGAATGACATCATGAGATCTTTAACGTCCACTGTGAAGCAGATGGCATGCAGTATGTTGCGGTTAATACACCCGCAGCAATAACCAGGGCGGCCTGCCATATTCGAACCGCGAACCTTTGCAACAAGCGGCTAACGTGCATTTACAACCACGATCATTATTATGTGTTTGTTGGCTTGAGTCGATCGAGTGGCTGAGTGGCTGGTTGAGTGGCTGAGTAGCCGGCTGAGTGACTGAGTGCCTGGCTGAGTGGCTGGTTGAATTACTGAGTTACCAGCTAAGTGGCTGAGTGGCTGGCTGAGTGGCTGGCTGAGTGACTGAGATCCTGGGTAGCTAGCTGAATGGCTGAGATGCTGGATGGCCAGCTGAGTGGATGGCTGAGTGGCTGGTTGAATTACTGAGTTGCCAGCTAAGTGGCTGAGTGCCTGGCTGAGTGGCTAGCTGAATGGCTGAGATGCTGGATGGCTAGCTGAGTGCCTGGCTGAGTGGCTGGTTGAATTACTGAGTTACCAGCTAAGTGGCTGAGTGGCTGGCTGAGTGGCTGGCTGAGTGACTGAGATCCTGGGTGGCTAGCTGAATGGCTGAGATGCTGGATGGCCAGCTGAGTGGATGACTGAGTGGCTGGTTGAATTACTGAGTTGCCAGCTAAGTGGCTGAGTGCCTGGCTGACTGGCTGGCTGAGTGACTGAGATGCTGGGTGGCTAGCTGAGTGGCTGAGATGCTGGATGGCTAGCTGAGTGGATGGCTGAGTGGCTGGTTGAATTACTGAGTTGCCAGCTAAGTGGCTGAGTGCCTGGCTGACTGGCTGGCTGAGTGACTGAGATGCTAGATGGCTAGCTGAATGGCTGGCTGAGTGCTGATTGAGTGGCTGAGTAACCGGCTGAGTGACTCCCCGAGTGGCTGGCTGAGTGGCTGAATTGCCGGCTGAGTGGCTGAGTGGCTGGTTGCAACGAGACACGCGTGATGGAGGGCGCACGTGAATTGCTGCGCAGACAGAACGCCGGCTGCCGATGAGTCAACCATTGACAGGGTCCGCTCGAGCTGGGAGAGAATCTGTATCTGCCCGTGGTACAAAGACTCATCCAGCTGTGGAGACATGCGCACACACACACACACGCACGCCATCGTTACATAAATAACCAGAGTGATGCATCCATCCAGCCAGTCACCTAAGGACCGGCTGGAAATGAGCTCTGGTTTGGTGACATGTACCTCTCCGTGTGTCCTTTCGTCCGTCTGTGTATCCACCTAGAGGACCGCCGGCGGTGTGGAGTGGCCTTGCGCCATCTCTCCGTCCACGAGTACCCTGCCATCTCTCTTTCAGTCACTAGTTTATTTGTTGTTGTTGTTGTTGTTGTTTTAATCTACGACTGCAACCAGGAAAGCAAACGCCGAGTCTCAAGACTCCTGTTCAGGAGGGTCCCGTTAAGTTTTTTTTGCAGGATGTGATGATGTTGCTCAGTGTAATCTCAAAATTGAGTGATTTGCAGGTAACTTTTCAGCTTTGCGATGTTTGGTCAATACCGGTTACATTGTGTGTGCTATGGGGTAGGAAACCAGAAAACTTAGAGGAAACCCATGCAGAACAGGTGGAGAGAGAACATACCAACTCCACACACACTCACACTCATTCACCACACTCTGTAGAACAGGCGGAGAGAGAACATACCAACTCCAAATATACAGCAGGCGTCAGGGTCGGGATTAAACCCTCGACCTCCGGTATACCAGGCGAGGTAATTAACATCTCCTAGCCACCGTGATGATGAGAGAAAGAGACACGCAAACTCCAAATATACAGCAGCAGGCGTCAGGGTCGGGATCAAACCCACGACCTCCTGTACACCAGGCGAGGTAGTTAACATCTCCTAGCCACCGTGATGATGAGAAAGAGACACGCAAATTCCAAATATACAGCAGCAGGCGTCAGGGTCGGGATTGAACCCTCGACCTCCTGTACACCAGGCGAGGTAGTCAACATCTCCTCGCCACCGTGATGATGATGAGAGAGAGACACGTAAACTCCAAATATACAGCAGCAGGCGTCAGGGTCGAGATTGAACCCACGACCTCCTGTACACCAGGCGAGGTAGTTAACATCTTCTAGCCACCGTGATGATGAGAGAGAGAGAGACACGCAAACTCCAAATATACAGCAGGCGTCAGGATCGGGATTGAACCCACGACCTCCTGCACACCAGGGCGCGGTGTACCTCTCCGTCGAGGATGGAGAGGAAGAGGCGGACGGCGCCGGCGCGGTCGCGGTGAGCGCGGCACGCGGCCCGCACGCCGCGCGCCCACTCGGCCCCGCGGCCACGCGCCGACGACCCCTCGCCACCCGCTGCCGCCCGCGTCTCCCCAAAGTCCACCAGGAAGTGCGACAGCTCCGAGCGAACACCGGCCTGACGGTGGTGGGGGACACGCGGCGGTGGTGGCGGCGGTGATGATAGTGGTTGTCATGTGGGTTGGAGGTGGTGATGGTGGTGTCATGTTGATGGTGGTGGTGGTGGTGATGGTAGTGGTCATGTTGATGGTGGTGGTGATGGTGGTCATTGTCATGTTGATGGTGGTGGTGGTGGTGGTGATGGTCATGTTGATGGTGGTGGTGGTGGTGGTGATGGTAGTGGTCATGTTGATGGTGGTGGTGGTGATGATAGTGGTTGTCATGTGGATGGTGGTGGTGGTGATGGTGATGGTGGTCATTGTCATGTTGATGGTGGTGGTGATGGTGATGGTAGTGATTGTCATGTTGATGGTGGTGGTGGTGATGGTAGTGGTCATGTTGATGGTGGTGGTGATGATAGTGGTTGGCATGTGGATGGTGGTGGTGATGGTGGGCATTGTTATGTTGATGGTGGTGATGGTGGTCATTGTCATGTTGATGGTGATAGTAGTGATTGTCATTTTGATGGTAGTGGTGATGATAGTGATTGTCATGTGGATAGTGGTGGTAGTGATTGTCATTTTGATGGTGGTGGTGATGGTAGTGATTGTCATGTTGATGGTGGTGATGATAGTGGTCATGTTGATGGTGGTGGTGGCGGTGATGATAATGGTTGTCATGTGGATGGTGGTGGTGATGGTGGTCATTGTCATGTTGATGGTGATGATAGTGATTGTCATGTGGATAGTGGTGGCGATGGTGGTCATTGTCATGTGGATAGTGGTGGCGATGATAGTGGTTGTCATGTTGATGATAGTGATTGTCATGTTGATGGTGATGGTGGTGATGATAAAGACAATCAGCATCACCATCATTATCATCAACATCTACACTGACGAATGTAACAACAAGAATGATGATTCTTACAAAGACACTGGAGATTAAAACGACTGCCATGATGATTTACAAGTCAGTATATCGACTATATAAATATGAGGTTGTGAGAATTGGTCTTCAACTTACCGGTGAGCGAGGTGACACAAGAATAATAACAATCGGTGCATCATTAAACGCTTGGACACCACGTGACAATTCAATTCGTCTGGCCATGTTGGGTGGCCGGGGTGTCAACAACAAGCATTTGGTCAGATAATCACGTGGCCTCACCCAAACATCAATTGTAAATCGTGAAGATCACCTGGCTGATATGATGAAGACGACGACTGTGACTCTACACCGACATACATTTTAAATGTGTTTAACAACACACGCAAAGGTGTGCAGCGTCGCACGTGCACACAAAAAAACCTGTCGGCCTTATCCAGACCACCGGCTCGACAGAACTGAATGCGTGGCCATTCTGTTGCTCAGAATCACCGGCTCTTCGAGTCGGTGATTCTCAACGACTCAAATGGTCACACATCCAGTCCTCTTTAGCCGGCGGTCTGGACAAGCCCGAGCGCTTTTGCACATGCGACGCCGCACCGGTGCTTCCGCTGCGATGGGTTCCTCCCGTCATCTGCAGGTTTCCTCCCGTCATCGACAGGCGTGACCGACGGACAGAGCGGACGACGATCTTGAAAGAGGGAGGAGAGAGAGAGGGAGAGCGGCCGTCGGGAAACTCACCACGCCATCGGCCGCCCGCTTCTCCCTCCACACGTCTTGCACGACGGCGCACAGCTCCTCCACGCTCCAGGCCCCATCGGCTGCACCGCCCTGCGACGGCGTGAGAGGGGACGGGCCGCCTCATCGACTCATCTCTATATTCGTTCTAGATTTGAAGCTTTCGTGACTGCAAGGAATCATATTCTTGGGTTTTTTTGGTAAAGTCACGGAGGTAAAAAATTAAAATTAATAAAAGTATAATAAAATAAAAATCACGACGTTTCGGAGGCAACACAAGCTTCCGTCTTCAGGTGGAACCGTCACAGCACGATAGCTGTATCAAGTGAGCGAAATTCCAAGAAAACAGTCCTTGTGTATATACTGGTTGAGGGTGGGAGGAGCCAAGGTAGGCCCTGAATATTATTTTTGTGGCTCCTCCCACCCTCAACCAGTATATATACAAGGACTGTTTTCTTGGAATTTATCTCACTTGATACAGCAGTCGTGCTGTGGCGGTTCCACCTGAAGACGGAAGCTTGTGTTGCCTCCGAAACGTCGTGATTTTTATTTTATTTTACGTTTATTAATTTTAATTTTTTACCTATGCGACTTTACCAAAAAAACTCAAGAATCTTTATTCATTTTCGACGTTGCTTGGTTGTAGGGGTTTTCATTTACTCGGCGTGTGTGTGTGTGTTGGGCTTCTGTCGCGACGCGCAAAGCCAACTGCGTAAATGGGATTTGGCCCTTATGTATAAACACATTCCTGCGGAGGGAGCTGGTAGGAACGTTGTGTTGCTCGGTCAATGGCCAGGGTCAACGGCGGCGTGGTGTATTCCGCAAATATGGCCGATTGTGAGGGCGGGCACAAGCCGGCGTGAGTAGGTTAAACGTTGAGTTTTATAAGGGCACCACGGGGTGACCAGCCCCTCCCCACCTAGCCCCTCCCCATCCTCCTCTCCCCACCCAGCCCCTCCCCACCCTCCCCACCCAGCCCCTCCCTCCCCTCTCCACCCAGCCCCACCCCTCCCAGTTTTGGATGCACGACGGACACAATAATCCCCTGTGGGCTGGTGTAACCAGGAGGTTCCTACCAGTATTAACGTACAGCGTTGTGGGATGCTGTTGGCATGAATAACGCGATATAAAACGAAAGTATTATTATTTGTGATGATGGTTCTACAAGAGTGTGTCTCCACCACGGGGGGAGCTCAAGAGGGTCCCTCTACGAGGGGGCTTGGCCTACTCTTCCACGCTAACCCCCCAGACCTCTTGGTAGAGGTGGTAGTAGCCACGCTTCGCCCCACCACTCCACGCTCCACCTGCCGATTGTCTAAGCGTCATAGCCTCTTAACCGGGCCTCGCAAAAAGTGGAAATGAAATAATGGTTACGTTAGTGTACCCAGGAAAACCTGACTGAGTCTCCACTCTTTTTCTCGCAGTAGGGGGCGATAGTGCTCTTGAGTTAAAAAAAAAAAGTTTCAGCATTGGGACGTTCGGCCAATTCCAGTTAGACTCTTTTACACGCTTTTATTTAACTCACTCTGTTGTTGTTGTATCCTCAAATCTTGTAACTCAATTTTAACCCACTTCCCAATGTGGTATCGACTGCAAACTTGGTATACTTGTGTCATACTGATGACAATACTATATTCTATCATAAAAATAAATATATATATTTTTTAACATTCTTTTTTACATGTTATGTTTCGGCTTGGGTCTAATTGTCCACGCTCAACTGACGTTGGCTGTAAATCACCACGCTCACTTACGTTATGGCAAGCCTCGGGGCCACTTCCTGGAGTCGTGGAGTTTTGCCATTACTCGTACGGTACATTTATTAAAGCGTGTTTTAAAAAAACTATTTTTTTAATATTACTTATTTGGTGTCAACTCTGGGAGGAAACACGTAGCAAGCCCATGCAGAGCAGGTGGAGAGAGAGAGAACATATTTTTTTTAAATTACGAAATGATGAACGAAGCAAAGTGCCGACTAGACCGAGCATCTTCTTGTTTCCACTGATCGTAAAAAAATAAAATAATATAAAAGAGAGAGAACATCCACACTCCACAAACAGAGAGGCGCCCCCGGTCAGGAATCGAACCCAGGCCCCTTCGAGCTGCGAGGCCAAAGTGCCACCGCTGCGCCACCCTGCCGCCCCAATGACAACAACGCTCCAGGAAACAACAGCAGCAGCACCACCTCTTGGTCAGCGTTCTCCTCGGTGAAGCCCGGGTTGGAGACTCCCATCACCTCCGCGAGCAGCAGCTTCATGATCTCCCCGCTGCTCCTGCCCTCGCATAGGTGAGTCCACCTGTCCACTCCACCCTCAATCACCGCTGCAGGTGAACAGGGGGGCGGTGGAGGTGGGGGAGGCAGGTGGGGAGGCAGGTGAATTCACGCACCCGCATACCGCCGCACACGTACACGCACAGCAGTGGGTCAAGTGCGACGTGTTAGCCTGCGTCAGAGGTCGCAACCGGGTACCCGATACCCGTACCCTACCCGATACCTGGCTACCCGTACCTGGCCGGGTACGGGTACCCGTTTGCGACCCTGGTGCGGCCGGGTACGGGTACAGGTAGACCGTGAGTCACTGGTGAGTAACTGTTTGTCACTCATTTCCCAACGTCTTGTCTCTTCTCACAATTCAAGTTCCTAGAGTCAACCCACCCGCGCCTGCAACATGGCTTCATCCCAGAGGTCACAATCAGGTACCCGATACCCGTACCCTACCCTTACCCAGGTACGGGTAGGGTACGGGTACGGCCGGGTACGGGTACTCGTTTGCGACCCTGGTGCGGCCAGATACGGGTAAGGAATCAAAACCCGTTTGCGACCTCTGGCCTGCGTTCCCCATACACAGGACACACACATAGGGCTGGATGAATGTCCACGTGCTAACCACTGTGCCACCTCTACCCATACACCGCTTATTAGTACAATAGTCACCCTATATCTGTTTAATCTTTCTGCAACTGAATTGTAACTTTCGATTGAAAGCGTTCGTGACTGCAGGGATTCATCTTCTTGGTTCTTTTGGTAAAATCACGTAGAAGGGAAATAACAAAATAATAAAAATAAAACATAATAAAACAAAAAATCTCACGACGTTTCAGCCACAACACAAGCAGCCGTCCTTTACCGAAAGAACCAAGAAGATGAATTGTAGCTGCGCTACGATCAGTCTCAAAATTTCGATTTAAAGCTTTCGTGACTGCAGGGTTTCATCTTCTTGGTTCTTTCGGTAAAGTCACGTAGTATTACTTCCAGTCTCAAAATAATAAGGTAATGTATAATTTAGCATTGCATTATCTCTGTGCATTATTTTAGATTTGTCACGTGACACGGTTGTTTTTGGTACGCTTTCCGTTCGATTAATTGCTGCGTTTCATTTTCCTCTTGTCACATTTGGTGACCCAGGTCACCCTTGAGCTCACAACTGGCCAAACAAAATTTCGATTTAAAGCTTTCGTGACTGCAGGGATTCATCTTCTTGGTTCTTTCGTTAAAGTCACATAGAAGGGAAGTAATAAAATAATAAAAATAAAACATAATAAAATAATTCTCACGACGTTTTGGCCACAACGCAAGCAGCCGTCCTCAGGTGAAGAACAGGTCTGTCGAGAAGACAGAGTCTGAATGACAACTCCAGGCTTGAAGCGTCTTTTAAAGCTGGGTTGGAGGGGGGGAAGAGCGCCTTGACCAAATAATTTGCATATCAAGAGGAATTTAGCATATATATAAGCTGGGTTGGAGGTGGAAGAACCAAGAAGATGGCCAAACAAAATCAACTTACCCCCGCACTCCTCCCACGGAGGCCTGGGCGTGGAGCTCCGCCGCAGCTCCTCCACCTCCGCGCTCAGCCCGTCCCTCTGCTGCAGGAGCTGCTCGTGGAGCTCCAGCAGGGAGCCGTGCTCCTGCTGGAGCAGCAGCAGGTCCCTGCCGTGGAGCTCCGCGTGGCGGGCCAGCGCGGCGTGGCTGGCCGCCAGGGCCTCGTGGTCGCGGCGAGGCACCACGTCGGCGTAGTCGGCCCTCGTGCACGTCAGCTCGTCCTGCACGCGCGACAGGTCCTGGCGGGCCACGCGCAGGGCCAGACGCAGGGCCACGGGGTCGGCCCAATCGTCCTCTGGCGGGAGGCGCAGGGGAAGTAGGGGGGTTAGGGTTCATTAGGATAGGAATCATCTTGTTGGTTCTTTCGGTAAAGTCACGTAGAAGGAAAGTAATAAAATAATAAAAATAAAAGATAATAAAGTTATTCTCACGACGTTTCGGCCACAACGCAAGCAGCCGTCCTCAAGTGAAGGATGGCTGATGATCATTTAAGGCCTCGCCTATGACGACTCAGCCTTAAATGAACACCTGTCGCAGTGTGTAAACATGCGGTGCTGAGCACACGACCCTAGAGTCTGCCGTGTCAGCCCCTTTAGGTGCTCGCTCATCGCACTCGCCCCAGAGTGTGTCTGAGGCTATATGGGGGATCTTTGTCTGTGTTTTTGTCACCGTGTGCCTGCAAGCGCTGCGCATTCTCCTGCAGCGCCCTCAGCTCCAGAATCTCGTTGTTGAGGAGTCGCCGAGCGTCGGACTCGTCGCGCCTTCGCTGGTACTCAGCCGACAGCTCCTCCTTCAGACGCTCCACCTGCCAGCCGGGAGAGGGGGAGGCAGGAAGGGAGGGAGGTAGGCAGGGAGGGAGGCAGGGAAGGACAGACCCAGCAGGTGCCATGGGTTGACTGAGATGACTGGCTGATGCACCAGCTGTGCTCCCCACATGGATAGAAAAAACCCGATTTTTCCAGCGGCAGGCATCGGGTTTTTTCTGTAATACAATTAAACCCGATTTCAGGGAATTAAAACCTGGTTTAATGAATACGAAACTCTGATTCAAGGCTTAGGCTGCTTCCTCGTCAGTGCTGCTATCGTACTCGGGGTCGTTGGGCACGGGGTAGTCGTAGAATGCGGCGGGCAGGTTGGTCGTGATGAACACGAGGAGCTTCTCCACAATCGTGGGCGCCAGTAAGTTCCGTAGCTTGGAATGGATGGCGTTGTGCTTGTACCAATCCGGCCGGTCTGCGTCCTCCATGCCGTTCATGAGTTTGCGGAAGGGCGAGCACTTGTTCAGGTGCACCTTGACCGACTCAATCTTCTTGTGATAATTGATGAGCGTCTTGCAGTGCTTGCACATGTTCGACTTGGCCTTGTGCGGCTGGCTGGCCTCGGTGAAGAGCTCCCAAACGTTGGCTGTCTTGCGGCCACGCTTCTTGGGCCGTTGCTTGGGGCCGTCGGCGTCTTCTTCATCATAGTTGTCGATTAACATGAGCTCACGTAGAAGCAAAATAATAAAATAATAAAAATATAACATAATAAAATAATTCTCATGACGTTTCGGCCACAACACAAGCAGCCGTCCTCAGGTGAAAACCAGGTCTGTCGAGGCGACAGCGTCTGAATGAAAGAGCACACGTGCTTGGAGCATATATTTAAGCTGGGTTGGAAGGAGGGGAAAGGGCGCCTTGACAAAATAATTTGCATATCAAGAGGAATTTAGAATATTTATGGGAAATGCAGATGTAATGCGGTTGTAAACGGCCCTTCTGAGGTGCCGTCAGGGGGGGAGGAGTTAGGTCACGTGGGGGTCAGAGGGGTTGAGTATAGAAGGAGGGGAACCGGAAGAGCAAGGAGGGTGACGGGGAACCAGGAACAGAGGAAGGCCACGAAGGGCGAAGCAGGGTGTGGCGAGATCGCCACGAACACGGGGGGAGCGAGGATCGGCACCGTTGGCCAGCGGTGACCGACCCGAAGCAGCGAGGAGGCTGCAGTCAGCAGCGGGGCTGCACAGAGAGAGTGGGCAGCGGGTCTGCATACAGTGACAGCCAGAGGGTCTGCACATAGGGGTAGCAGCGGGAGTCTGCATAGGGGTAGCAGCGAGTCTGCAGGGAGGAGGTTACAGTAGATGAAGCAGAGAGTCAGAGGGGAGAGGAAGCTATAATAGCAGTGAATAGCCGGGGGCTACGAATACAGGAGTTATAACAGAGTGCCGTGTGGGTAAAGACGTGAACCTGAATAAAGACACGAAGACAGAAAGAAGTGTTCGAGTCCTTTTATTACACTGGAGTCAGAAGTGAAACGGCATGGCGAAACAACTGAGGAAGAAGAATATCCCATCTCCGGCGTCGGCTTCATCATCGGACGACGACGATCTTCCTCCTGAGGTCGGCTTCACTTCGGCGGAGGGAGAGATCCGTGAGGGCCCGGGTGTGGAGGAGGTTGCCGCTGCGTCTGACCCATCTGCGTTGAAGGACGAAGATTTAAGATGGACCCGGATGGCGGAGCAACTGGCGACCCTAAAAACCGTCATCACGGAGTTGTGTGACCTTGTCACGCCAAGGGCGGCGTTGGAAGGTGATGGTGGTGATCGGCAGGAGCCCGGGTCGTCTTCGATGGCGCCGCCATCGGCCACGCGGCGTGAAGACGCCATCTTGGGCGTGGCGCACCACGGAAGGCGGGAAGCCGCCATTTTGGGGCCGCCACGAGGATCGTCCGCCATCTTGGCGACACCGCGTTGCGACGCCTTGCTGAACTTGCCGCCGGAAGAGTCGGTGACGGACGGAAGCAGGCCAAGGAGCCGCAGTCGTCACCTTACAACTGTTAAGGAGTTCTCCATCGGGGGCGATTGGAGTGCGTTCGCTTGTCGATTTTTGGCGGCGGTACGAACGGCAAGGTGGACGGACGCCGAGGCGCTGGAGGTGCTTCCGACTCTCCTTGACGATGAGTCTGTTCGTTTTTTTCGCTCTATAAAAGCTGCGAAGAAGAAAACATTGCGTGGAGTGTTCGACGAAATGGCGGACGCGTACGAGCCACCGGATGACGCCCATCGCCGCTTCGTGCAGCGGCAACGCGCACCGGAGGAGTCGCCTGTAGCGTACAGGGGCGCCGTGCTGGAACTCGCGATGGCCGCTTACCCGGACACGGAGCCTGACCTGCTGGAACCTCTCATCTTGGGGAAGATGTTGGAGTTATCCCGGGATCTGGGCATTCCTATGCCGGCGTGCGGTCACGAGAAACTCACGTCCCGGACCGTGGCCAAGTGTTTGGACGCCCAGTTCAATCTCCGCCGCTGGAAACAAGTCACGGCGTGGACGGGCGGTCCTGTCGTCGATGGGGGGGCCGTAGGGTGGGACCCTACAAAGGCCGTGTACGTGCCGGATGCGACCGGCCCAAAGGAGCTGTCGGCCGCCTCCACTCCGTGGCCGGCTCGAAGCGGGCCGGGGCCGCGGGCTCCGCCGCCGGCGCGGCCACGTCGGGACGGGGGGCCTGCTGCGCGCCGACCCGACGTCGACTGTTTCCGCTGCGGCCGTCGGGGCCACTATGCCAGGGACTGCTGGGCCCGGGTTCCGGGGCCACCCCAGCAGGAGGCCTCGATTGCGGACGCCCCAAAGAAAGACCCTCCGGCACAGGCAAGTCGGTGCGCACCAGACACCCGGCAAGGCCTGACACCTCACTCATCGCCGTTGTTGTGCGACGCGGATGTTCTAGAATATGGGAGGCCAGTATCTGCGCCTTGTCGCTCGATAACGCAGTGGCGTAAGTTGGCTCGGCGGGTTGTCGCGGCCGCTACAGGTTCGTCCACTGTACCGGGGTCGATCCAAGGGGTGGACGTGCGTATTTTGGTGGATTCCGGGGCGTCCGCGACCATTATTTCGGATGTCATATTCCATCTTTTGAACATCCCACCGGGGGCCGTGAGGCCGGCTTACGCTTCCTGCATCGCTGCGAACGGGGGTAGTATGGGCATCGTGGGACAGGTGGACGCTAATATTTCTATCGGGGGGGTCTCGGCCTCGGGCGTTGTGTTAATTTCGAGGTCCCTGGCGGTTCCTTGCTTGTTGGGCACGGATTTTTTGGCTAAGATGCCCATTCTAATTAGAATCAATGAAAATTGCATTGAACTACCAGGGGGCCGCAAATTGGCGTTTTTACAGTCCACCTGGGGGCGACCGGCTCCGGTTGCCCAGGTGCAGGCGTTATCGGAAGTTTCAGTTGATATTCCACCTGGCTCGCAGATGCTCATTCCCCTACGATACCGGAAGCCGGTTCCGGGTCGGCAGGGTGCTTGTGGAATTTTGCTGTCGCCGTCCGCCGCTGTTACGGGCGGATTGGCACTGGTGGGGGCGCAAACCATTGTCCGTCCGGATCAACGCCCGTTTTTGCAGGTGTTAAATGCGAGTTCTGAAAGCGTGTGTGTGCCGGCTGGTACCGTTGTGGCACACGCCACTACGGCGTTTACGGCTCAGAGTGACATTCCGGACGGGGGGCTGGTGGGTGGTGTTTCACACGACGGAGGGGTGGACGATCGTTGGATCGCCGAACTATGTGCGGAAAATTCGGCCCTTTCCGCTGAGCAGCGTTGTGCGATTCATAAATTATTAGCGAGCTATTCCGATGTGTTTAGCTCGGACGATTTGGACTTGGGACGCACCTCGCTGCTCTCTCATCACATCGAAACGGGGGACGCGGCCCCTATCCGCTTGAACTCGCGTCGGATGAGTCCGGCTGAGCGTGAGCACGTTCGAGGGGCAGTGGAAGACATGTTGAAAGCGGATATTATATCTCCGTCTAATAGCCCGTGGGGCGCGCCTGTCGTGTTGGTTAAAAAGAAAGATGGTAAATTACGATTTTGTGTGGATTTTCGGAAGTTAAATAAAGTGTCGGTGGCAGATGCGTATCCCCTGCCGCGTATGGACGATTCTCTCGACGCCTTGTCAGGGGCTAAGTTTTTTTCAACGCTAGATCTCTCTTCTGGCTTCTGGCAGCTTCCCCTTGACGAGCCCTCGCGGGAAAAGACAGCGTTCCGTACGCCGCAGGGGTTGTTCCAATTTAACTGTCTGCCGATGGGGTTGAATGCAGCCCCTGCCACCTTTCAGAGATTGATGGAGTTGGTATTGACGGGGTTGCAGTGGGAGACATGTCTCATTTATTTAGATGATATTATTGTCTTCAGCCGCACATTTGATGAGCATTTATTGCGGTTGGAGGCCGTTTTTGCCAGAATGCGTTCTGCTAATTTGAAATTCAAGCCTAAGAAATGTCATCTACTGCAACGTTCCGTTCGATACTTGGGACATATTGTTAGTGCGGACGGGGTGGCCACGGATCCAGAGAAAACTGCGTGTGTCCGGGATTGGGCAACCCCCGCCACGGTGGGTGATGTGCGTCGGTTTTTGGGGTTCGCCTCATATTACCGGAGGTTTGTTCCGAATTTCGCTACTATCGCCAGGCCTTTGCATCTCCTTACTGGGAAGGGGCACAAATTTGTGTGGGGACCGCCGGAGGAGGCGGCGTTTCGGAGCCTGCGCGATCTACTGGCTACTGCGCCGACGTTGGATTATCCGGATTTTGAACATCCCTTCATTCTGGATACTGATGCGAGTGACACCGGGATTGGGGCGGTGTTGTCCCAGTCAAAAGGTGGTGTTGAGCGTGTGGTGGCGTACGGGAGTCGGGTTTTGTCTCCCGCGGAAACTCGTTACTGCGTCACTCGCAGGGAACTTTTGGCTATTGTGTATTTTCTCCGCCAATTTCGACCGTATCTGTACGGTCGGTCGTTTATTGTCCGAACGGACCATGCGGCCTTGCAGTACGCTCTTAAGATGGACCAGCCATCCGGACAATTGGCGAGATGGCTGGACACGTTGCAAGAATTCTCCTTCCAAATTCACCATCGGAAGGGTGTGCGTCACGCTAACGCGGACGCACTGTCCAGGTTGCCGCAACAATCCCCTTGTGCGTGTGCGTCGGGGACGCATAGGTGTGGACCGGCTCAGCCCCCCCCTCAGCCTGTCGCGCGGGCAGTGGATGTTCTCGAACCTCCGCTTACACCGGGACCGGTTGAAGGGGGACCGGCTGACGGGATTTTGCGTCTTCCAAGGTCTGTGTGGATTCGGGAGCAAATGTTGGACGATTCTTTGGTGTCGTTACGGAAACGAACGGAGAGGGCGGGTAAGGAAGTCGGTGCGGGTGGTAATTCGGAAACTGCTCTCCGAGATGGGTTACTGATGTGGAGGGAAGGGATACAGGAACACTGGCGTCTCGTTGTGCCCGCGTCATTGCGCTATGAGCTGATTAGATCTTTGCACTGTGACACGCTTTTACACCTGGGGGTGCAGAAAACCCTATTGACGCTGCAACGAGACTATTATTGGCACGGCATGACGACGGATGTCGTCGGTCACGTTCGCGCGTGTCCCGATTGTGCCCGCCGTAAGCCGCCTAAACATCCATATGTTCCGCCGATACAATCGATTAAAGTATCTCGGGTTAATGAGCTGGTGGCGTTAGATATTTTGGGACCCTTTCCGCCATCAGCTAAAGGGAATAAGTATTTACTGGTGGGGGTGGAGTACCTCTCTCGCTGGCCGATGGCCTGGCCCTTGCCTGACCAGTCAGCGGCGTCTATCACTGACGCCTTTCTATTTGGGTATGTAATGGACAAAGGGGCTCCGGAGAGGCTCCTTACGGATCAGGGACGTAACTTTTCGTCTAAATTGTTGGGGGAGGTGTGTGCGGCTCTTGGAACTAAAAAGATACGGACGTCCCCCTACCACCCGCAAACGGATGGTATGGTGGAACGGTTGAATCGGACTCTGTCCGCCATGCTGTGCCATACAGTCGGGGAAAACCAATCTGATTGGGATTTGCATATCCCTGGGGTGCTTTCGGCGTATCGCATGACGCCGCACGCGGCTACTGGATACTCGCCGTTTTTCCTTATGTACGGCCGTGAGAACGTGCCGCCGATTCATGACCAGTTGGGAACCGGTGCGAGGGGGCCTGTTAAGCCTCTTCCTGAGTATATTAAGGACAACGTTCGGCGTGTCGCTGAGGCGAGGGAAAATGCCCGCATGGCTACTGCCAAGGCTCAGGCCAGGAATGAGCGGTGTGCCCGACGTTCAAAGGGGGAGTGTCCCTGGAAAAAGGGGGACCTGGCCTGGCTTCATTGCCCACAGGTGCGGCCAGGTACATCTCCTAAATTACATCGACCTTGGCAGGGTCCGGTCCGCCTCATTGAGGTTCCCAACCCACAGTCGGCGCGTGTTCAGGTTGGTGCACGGCGTTGGTTCGTGCACACGTCCCGGTTGAAGCCATACATTGCCCCACGGCCGGATGCGTCATCTCCCGAAGTTGCCTTGCCGGGGTCTGTTGCTGCCGACTCGCCCTTGCCTGTGTCTGCTGACCTTGCGAGAGCGCCTGTCGTACCCTTCACAGACAAGCCGGCCGTGACACCGCAGGGAGGAGGACCTTCCGCTTGTGGGACGCCGACCGGAGCCGCAGAACCCACGGGACCTGCAGCTCTTCCTATCCCTCCGCGGACGCGAGTACGGGATGTTTCTGGACGCGAGCGGGACAGTGGCGGGCCTCCAATGGCGACGGAAGAACTTGCGCCCGTCGCCCCTAAAACCCTTCCACGTTCCCGCTCGGCGGGTGGGCCGCCGACCGTCCGGGACGGCCCGGCTACCCGTACTCGCTCGAAATCCCTCACGTTTCGTTAGATTGTGTTGTGTTGTGTTATTGTTATAATGTCTTCAATGCTTCGTGTCTTTTTGCGTGTTGGCCCTTTACACCCGCATTGCTTTTCAGGTTGCAATTCAGCCGAGGTCGGCTGGATTTTCTTTAGGGGGGAGGGTGATGTAATGCGGTTGTAAACGGCCCTTCTGAGGTGCCGTCAGGGGGGGAGGAGTTAGGTCACGTGGGGGTCAGAGGGGTTGAGTATAGAAGGAGGGGAACCGGAAGAGCAAGGAGGGTGACGGGGAACCAGGAACAGAGGAAGGCCACGAAGGGCGAAGCAGGGTGTGGCGAGATCGCCACGAACACGGGGGGAGCGAGGATCGGCACCGTTGGCCAGCGGTGACCGACCCGAAGCAGCGAGGAGGCTGCAGTCAGCAGCGGGGCTGCACAGAGAGAGTGGGCAGCGGGTCTGCATACAGTGACAGCCAGAGGGTCTGCACATAGGGGTAGCAGCGGGAGTCTGCATAGGGGTAGCAGCGAGTCTGCAGGGAGGAGGTTACAGTAGATGAAGCAGAGAGTCAGAGGGGAGAGGAAGCTATAATAGCAGTGAATAGCCGGGGGCTACGAATACAGGAGTTATAACAGAGTGCCGTGTGGGTAAAGACGTGAACCTGAATAAAGACACGAAGACAGAAAGAAGTGTTCGAGTCCTTTTATTACACAGGTATGTGATTAGTACTACTTATGCCCGTGCATTGTGCAGGATTAGCAGCATCAAAGGGAGGGGATAGGGGTAGCATTAATAAAGGGAAGGAATGTTAATAGTATGTAGCTGCAGTAACTAAAACCACCACGTAAACAACTAAAGTATAAACTACATAATATCATCAGTATACTAAATATACTCTACAATAAGCTGAGTTACTAACAGTAAGTAATACATTACAATTCTACGTCGTAAAAAATATAATATGCTTCCATCTAAACTTTATTCTCTTGCAGTCACGAAAGCTTTAAATCGAAATTCAACATGAGCTCGTCGCCACCAGAGACGGGCAACACGGCGCTGCTATCATCATCAACGACGGGGCTGAGAGCTGTGCGGGCGCCGCTGTTGGACATCGTCGTTGTTGGAAAATGGAAATCACTCAATAAGAAATTGGCGTCAATTGCGCAAATGGGCGGAAGCAGGCGCGGTGTCCGGCGGGCCGCTGGCAAAGTGCAGTTCTGCAATTAGAACCAATTAAACCGGATTTCTCCCAATCTCAGACGATCGGGTTAAATATAAAAAGACAATTAAACCCAATTGTAAAAAACCCGACTGTGCCACCCTTGGCTCCCCACTGTGCTAACTCACACCGGCACTCCACTCATTGCTGTTCGCAGCATTCCTCTTCCCTCTGCCAACGAAGAGGGGCTGTAATCGAGAACGAACGGCTGGAGATGTAAACGAGAGAGCAGAGGGATCTACGGGGACGTGCGTGTGAATGAAACGCGCGCATGACGCCGGGAGAGAGGGACGAAGAGCGCACGTGCGAACGCCGGTACCTGCAGCCGTGTCGCGTCCGTGCGCCCGCTCTCCTCCTGGAGGCGTCGCAACAGCTCGCGGTTGTCCCGGCGTAGCCGTGCGGCTGCGTCGCTCTCCTCCCGGTGCGCGTCCACCCCCTCAGTCGCCCGCCGCTCGCTCTCCGCCACGAGCAGCCCCCGCAGCGGCTCCAGCTGGGCCACGCGGCCCCGCAGTTGGCCTGGCGGCGGTGGTGGCGGCACGGAGAGAGGGGGACGCGTGGGTTCTTTCGCGATGTCATTGCGATTGTTATCGTGACATTGCGACGGTTGTTTAGCCAGCAAAGCTTCGCTGAGCCTCGAGACTATGTTTTCAGGAGGTTGCTGCCAATTTTTCACAGGGGGAGATGTCGCGAGTGTGTAATTGCAATGGAGTCGTTTGCGGTGGCGTTTTTTTCGAATTTGAACCACAAAGCTGGCACACATCTTTAATACTATGAAACCTCCTTTACCAGTTGCAAAATATAGTGATAGGTTTTTACCCTTGAAACTGGTACAAAAACTGACACCTTTATACAAGGCATCATGTTTGCAATAACCACAACACAAACAGTCAAATTGCAAACAAAACATTATCAGAGTTGTTTATTTTAGTTTGCAATTTGAGTGCTTGTGCTGTGGTTATTGCAAACATGATGCCTTGTATAAAGGTGTCAGTTTTTGTACCAGTTTAAAGGGTAAAAACCTATCACTACACATCTTTAATGTCCACTTTGAAGAAGACGGCACATAGGTGTACGGTGAATACATCTGCGGTATTTGACTCCACGGACCTCTGCAATGAGCGGCCAACGAGCTTTCGCTAAGCACAGATTCCAAGTAGAAAATCACGCGTGTGCACATACACGCGTGTGTGTGCACATACACACACACGCATATTTGTGTGTGTGGGGAGCAGTGGTGCAGCGTTTAGCGCACGGCGCTACAAACCCGGTGACCCGAGTCCGGTTCCCGCTCACAATCAACACCAGGGAGGATTATCTGAGTCCTGGGCCTCCCCTAGGTCGACTCGGCCTCAAATGAATAGAGTACCTGGTGCGATGGGTAAATACTGCCACCAGGGAGACAAAGGCAGCCTAGCGTGGCACTGGCCACCCACCCTCTCATGTGCCGTGTCGGCCATCATAAGTGCACGCTCAACAGCACTTGCCCCAACAGTCTGTTCAGGCTATACGGGGGATCTTTGTCTATGCTGGACATCGCGACTACTCCGTACCTAACGTGGCTTCGTATTCGCACTTGATCGCTGCCAGCAGTGGCTTGTAGGTTGTGAAGTTTTCGATGATGCAATTGAACGCCTCTCGAAAGGCCTGCAAACGATCGTACAGGAGACACCAACTTTACTGTCACACTGCCGGCAAGATTAGCATGGTTGGCTACGTACTGTGTAAAATAAGTTCAATATAGTACAACATTTTGTTTTAAAGCTTTCGTGACTGCAGGGATTCATATGCTTGGTTCTTTCGGTAAAGTCACGTAGAAGAGAAACAATAAAATAATAAAAATATAAAACAATTAAATTCTCACAACGTTTCGATTGCAACACAAGCAAGCAATCATCATCAGGTGTGAAAACCACAGCAAGAAAATTTCCAAATTTCAAATTTTATTGCTGTGGTTTTCACACCTGATGATGATTGCTTGTGTTGCAATCGAAACGTCGTGAGAATTTTATTGTTTTATATTTTTATTATTTTATTGTTCCCCTTCTACGTGACTTTACCGAAAGAACCAAGAATATACATACAACAATACAACTGTATCAGCATAACTACTGTAATAACATTCATTGATGAACAAAGATTAACTAATAGCAAGATTGCGAGGTGCCTGAAAGAGCAATAGAGTAAGTTGCTGATGGAATTACTCAATGAATTAATTACTGATGCCTCGGTGACTGAATTGAAGGATGAATTAATTGATAAATGAGTGGCTGGGTAATTAACTAGATGGGTGAATAAATGACCAAGTGGATGACTAGATGCACGAATGACTGATTGAATGGATGATTTCGTGAATGACTGCAAGACTGGATGCCTGGATGACTTCATGACCAGATGAATGAATGAATGATTGAGTGATTGAGTTGGTGAATTAATAAATGGATGACTTAATTTAATGAAAGACTGAATGGGTGATTGGACGACTGCATGGCAAGGTTGCGAAATGAGTGAATGGATTATACAATTGGAGTGGTATACAATACCTGGAGTCTAACCTCCTGTGCAGCCAAATCCAGGTTCTGTGAGTCTGGGTTCAATGATCTGAGTGTTCCCAGCTCCTGTAAGATTATCATTCGCAAACATACAAATGCGAAATTACATTAATTATTCACAGTAGTTATTGCCATTAGCCCACGTCTGTGTTTGTATTGTCACTGGGTAACTAACTGATCGGATGAATGACCTTCCCATGGAACCACCCACCTACCTACCTAACCATTCATCGACCCACCCTCCTACGATCGTGCCTATCCAACCACTCACCTACCAATATTACCTACCCACCTGCCCATCCACCCTCCCACCCAGTGATTAGGTGGGTGGGTGAGTTGGTTGGTGAGTAAGTGGATGAGTGAGTGCGTTGTTGTGACCTGCAATGTCGCAGGTTCGACCCTGACGCCTGCATATTTGGAGTTTGCGTGTTCTCCCCGTGCTCGCATGGATTTTTCTCTGGGTCAAACCGGTTTTTCCCTCCACATTTTAGAAACACGTGTTTACAGTATTTTGCTGCAACTACAAATTTCCACTTGCTAAGTCACTTCGTTGGGCTATCATTTGTGGCCAGGTCGCTTCTGAAAAAGAGCTATATAGCTCAATGGGCCTTGCGTAATAAAATAAATAGCTTAGTTTTAGTTTCCTTAATGTGATGGTTGAACAGTTTGGATGATACAAAACGATGTGGCCACTGTTTCTGCACAGCGTCTTGAGACAATAATAAACACATTCCTGCGGAGGTAGCTGGTAGGAACGTTGGGTTGCTCGGTCAATGGCCAGGGTCAACGACGGCGTGGTGTATTCCGCAAATATGCCCGACTGTGAGGGCGGGCACAAGCCGGCATGAGTAAGTTAAACATTGAGTTTTATAAGGGCACCACGGGGTGACCATTCCCTCCCCACCCAGCCCCACCCTCCCACCCCCCACCCAGCCCCACCCAGCCCCACCCAGCCCCTCCCCACCTAGCCCCTCCCCACCCTCCCCACCCAGCCCCTCCCCACCCTCCCCTCCCCACCCAGCCCCTCCCTCCCCACCCAGCCCCTCCCTGCACGATGGACGGACGGACGGACACAATAATCCCCTATGGGCTGGTGCAACCAGTGGGTTCCTACCAGTATAATTTGTTATTGATAGAGCTCCCTTCATGTCAGGAGGTCATGGGTTCGATCCCGACCCTGACGCCTGTATATTTGCAGTTTGCACGTTCTCCCCGTGGTCACGTGAATATTTTCCCCCACGGGGTTCCTCCGTTTGTTTTCCCCTCCACATTGAGAAACAAACGTGCATTTAGAGTATCCGTCTGCGATACATTTTCCCCGCAATAAGCCACTTGCTGGGCAGTTAACCCGCGCAGGGGAACTGTGCGTGGACCAGGAGGGAATGAAAGCCCTCGCGGTCAGCTCTCGAAACGTCCGCAGAAGAGACTACGACGGGTCGGAGAAGAGACTTCGAACGGCTGGCGGAGAGGTCCCCTCTTGCTCGCCACCACGGCCACCCACCTGCCTGAGGCCGGCCTCCAACTGCTGCAGGAAGCGTGGCTTTGCAGTGGGGCGCGAGGCCGGCGGGTAGGGGGTCCCTTGAGGCCTGCGGAGGCCCCGGGAACACTCGGAGGGGCCCGGTGCCTGGGGCGAAACGGCCAGAGGGCCCGCTGGCCACACGGACAGCTGAGCGGAGCCCACCAGTGGCTGTGGTGGAGAATGATTCACTGGTCAACAACAAAAAACACATTTTTTCTGGCTTGGACTTTTGCAGCTGTTTTAGACTAATTTCAGGGTGCTGATTTCCAAATCTGACCAACTGCCAAATCGCTGTCCGTGGTGCTGACGTTAAGAAAAAAAACGCCACTTGCTGTGGATTTCACACCTGATGATGATTGCTTGTTGCAGTCGAAACGTAGTGAGAATTTTATTGCTTTATATTTTTTATTATTGTATTGTTTCCCTTCTACGTGACTTTACCGAAAGAACCAAGAATATGAATCCCTGCAGTCACGAAAGCTTTAAATCACAATCTTAACACCTGTTTTGTTGCCAGAAAAAAGGGGAAAAAACCTATTATCAAGCAGCGAGTAATCAACCTCAAACTAGCACAGTCGTAGAGTACAATATTTAGTCGAGTATAGTCATAAAACGGAATTAATGGACTTAACCTTTATCCGTCCCGAGACGTGTGAAAGTTGCAGGGTGGGTGTCCCTTTCACCTCAAGTGGCTCAGCGTTAATTTTATTCAGAGAGGTGTAGTAGCGCCGTTGTTTTTAACGACATTGTTACTCACCGCAGAGAACTCTAGCGACACGACCGCCGCACTCTACGATGGCTGACGCCAACACCGTGCCACACGCCCTCCCGCGTGGCCTTGTGGGAGCCTCGATACCGATAACGTTTTTTTTCTCTTCTTGGTTCTTTCGGTAAAGTCACGTAGAAGGGAAATAATAAAATAATAAAAATAACACATAATAAAATAATTCTCACGACGTTTCGGCCACAACGCAAGCAGCCGTCCTCAGGTGAAGAACGGGTCTGTCGGGAAGACAGCGTCTGAATGAACACCACCAAGCTGCTTGCGTTGTGGCCGAAACGTCGTGAGAATTATTTTATTATGTGTTATTTTTATTATTTTATTATTTCCCTTCTACGTGACTTTACCGAAAGAACCAAGAAGATGAATCCCTGCAGTCACGAAAGGTTTAAATTGAACGTTATTTTATTTTAGTTTTTCTTCCAGTTTCATTTTGATGATGTACACGTACGTCATTGGAACGGACTTGGATGAAAAAACTGACGACGTCCACGAACAATTACGTCATCGGAACGGGTTAATTGCATGCTCATCCCAAATCCTACTGACCTCGATGAAGTCTTTTGGAGGCAGCTGATGAGACACTGCACCCGAAAGCTGGTAGCAATTCAACGGCTTCACACCACTAAACACACGCGTGCATTCACAATCAGAATAATAATATTTATACCGGTGGAATCCCATGAGCTGTAAAGATCTTTTTTAAAAGATGTCCAGTAGGGGCATGGGGTCAGAACGTTATGACAACAAACACAATACACAAACACACACAGACACCGGTTTCACACAGTAAAAACGTAAAGGTGCCGCCCTGCAACTGGGCTCCCAGAATGTACAAAGTCGCTATGGAACACCGAGATGGAATAATGATGCTATCATCATCTTTCGGTAAAGTCACGTATAAGGGAAATAATAAAATAATAAAAATAAAACATAATAAAATACAATTCTCACGACGTTTCGGCCACAACGCAAGCAGCCGTCCTCAGGTGAAGAACAGGGCTGTCGGAAAGACAGCTTTCCCACCTGATGACGGACGCTTGTGTTGCGCCCGAAACGTCGTGATTTATTTTATTTTATACCCACGTGACTTTACCGAAAGAACCAAAGAGTATGGATTCCTGCTGTCACGATAGCTTCAAATCAAGATTTTAAAACATGTGTTTGTCTATTTGTTTGTGTTTCTCCCTTGTGATGGGACTTTGTAGGATGAACTTTGAGATTGATAAGGGCACGGGGTGACCAATACGGTCTTAAATTGGTCTGTAATAAGATAAGGTTACTCATTAGGGGTTGACAGGTATGTAGTAGTGTAGTGTATAGTGTAGTATATAGCAGTTTACAGTGTAGTGTATAGTAGTGTAATGTATAGTAGGGTAGTGTATAGTGTAGTATATAGTGTAGTGTATAGTGTAATGTATAGTAGAGTAGTGTATAGTGTAGTGTATAGTAGTGTATAGTGTAATGTATAGTAGAGTAGTGTATAGTGTAGTGTATAGTAGTGTATAGCAGGGTAGTGTATAGTGTAATGTATAGTAGAGTAGTGTATAGTGTAGTGTATAGTGTAATGTATAGTAGTGTATAGTGTAATGTATAGTAGTGTATAGTGTAGTGTATAGTGTAGTGTATAGTGTAGTGTATAGTGTAATGTATAGTAGTGTATAGTGTAGTGTATAGTGTCATGTATAGTAGAGTAGTGTGTAGTAGCATACGCGGCAACCCACACGGTTTTGCTGTATGCTTGTACAAGGGAAATTCAGTGTTTCAGGTCCATACGGCGTACAGCGATTTCAATACAGGCAAAAAAACAACATTTGTGTCTATTTTTGTGTTTCTCCCTTTTACTGGGACTTTGTAAGATGAACTTTGAGATGTATAAGGGCACGGGGTGACCAATACGGTCTTAAATTGGTCTGTAATAAGGTAAGGGCACTGATAAGGCGTTGACAGGTTTGTTACGATGAATAACAATTTATCTTCTTGGTTCTTTCGGAGACGCTGTCTCCCCGACAGACCTGTTCTTCACCTGAGGACGGCTGCTTGCGTTGTGGCCGAAACGTCGTGAGAATTATTTTATAATGTTTTATTTTATTATTTTATTATTTCCATTCTACGTGACTTTACCGAAAGAACCAAGAAGATGAATCCCTGCAGTCACGAAAGCTTTAAATCGAAAGAATAACAATTTGTCGCGCGAAATCCTGCGTGTTATTCATGGATGCATTTTGAAACGCGGAATTCGTTGAAGACGTCAAGGAGAGTTTATATAGAGGGTGGTGGAGGTGGTGGGGGTCAGTGTGACGTTCACTATCGGAACATTTGATTTTTTTTAACTTTATTTTTTAACTTAATATTTTTACTGAATCTTTTTTTACGTATACAAATTTTTAATTAATATTTTTCTTAATCTTTTTTTTTACTTATTCATCTTTTTCTGACTTACTCTTTTTTTTACTTCTTCATATTTTTCTAACTTAATCACTTTTTTTTTAACTTCATTGTCCCAATATAATTGTGGGGTGAGGTGAGGATGCCTCACCTGGGGATCGATGTCCCGCGACCGCCGGGCATGGCAACTTGCGTCACCCCGCACACAACGAGCTCACGTTGATATGAGACAATAACAACAACAACAGCAACACATCCAATGATTGTGGTAAATAAAAATCGCTTTGAAAATCGATTAGACTACACCCGCTATACAGTCCACGTCAACAACGACTGTTTACGCCGGTTGCTAGGGTTACCAGTTTGCATCGTTGCTATGGTTACCGTTTGAAAGGACCCCCAGAGTGGGGTGTCTATTTTATTGCCAGTTGAATTCGGTCAATAAGGGTGACATTTGTGTCAAATAAATTCTGTTAAAATTTTATTTTGCAGTAAAAAAAAAACATCTGCTCGTTTGCTACGTTTTAAAAAGTACGCAGAGTATGCCCGGCGCTTCGTGCGTGAGTTAACGCAATTTAATTCACACAGGCAGTACAAAGGGCAGCTACCACGGATTGGTACAAGGCGGAGTGGACATGCACCGCCTGTTGCAAGGCGCTTATGGGGCCGTCCATAAATGACGTCACGCACCTGGGGGGGGTGTTTGATAAATGTGACGTCACATCAAAATGCGCAACTTTAAATAAATATAGAATTATATTCTTGGTTCTTTCGGTAAAGTCACGTAGAAGGGAAATAATAAAAAATATATTAATATAAATAAATAAAAATTCTCACGACGTTTCGACTGCAACACAAGCAATCATCATCAGGTGTGAACCAAGAATATGCATCCCTGCAGTCACGAAAGCTTTAAATAAAAAATATAGAATTGTTATAACAACACTAATTGTTATAACAACACTCCTACAACATCAGAGTGCAGCGCCACATTAGCTACGCACTACAATGACAATAGTTTAAAGCGATTTGAAGCATTTTTATTTTTAAAATTTAAATATAGTTTTTTTTTTTGGGGGGGGGGGCAGAGCTTTGTGACGTCATATTTGAGGGGGGGGTCTGACTTTTTGTGACGCCGTGTGACGAGAGGGGAGGGGTCAAAAATCGTCCAAAATCACGTGACGTCATTTATGGACGACGGCCCCTAAGCATGCACCTCAACCACATCAATTCCATACACCCATATTCTTAGGTTTTTTCGGTAAAGTCACGTAGGTAAAACATTTTAATTAATAAAAGTAAAATAAAAATAAAATAAAAATCACGACGTTTCGGAGGCAACACAAGCTTCCGTCTTCCCGGTGGACGGATCCACCTGAAGACGGAAGCTTGTGTTGCCTCCGAAACGTCGTGATTTTTATTTTTTTATTTTTTATTAATTTTAATTTCATTTTTTACCTACGTGACTTTACCGAAAGAACTAAGAGTATGTCGTCATTGTCGTTGCGGTGACTTGGCGTGGCCAGCCACGCCAAGTTAAAAAAATGAAATTAAAATTAATACAAAATAAAAAATAAAAATCACGACGTTTCGGAGGCAACACAAGCTTCCGTCTTCAGGTGAAACTGTCACAGCAAGACGGAAGCTTGTGTTGCCTCCGAAACGTCGTGATTTTTTTATATTAATTTGAATTAAATTTTTTTACCTACGTGACTTTACCGAAAAAACCTAAGAATATGAATCTTTGCAGTCACGAAAGCTTCAAATCTAGAATCCATACACCCAGCCATCAAATTCAGCATGGAGGTAGAAATGGATGGCACGCTACCTTTCTTGGATGTCCTCATCAAAAAGAGACCAGGTGGCTCAATGAGCCATTCTGTCTACAGGAAAGTAACCCATGCTGACGCCTCCTGATGCCTGCTGCTGTATATTTGGAGTTTGCGTCTCTCTCTCATCATCATCACGGTGGCTAGGAGATGTTAACTACCTCGCCTGGTGTACAGGAGGTCGTGGGTTCGATCCCGACCCTGA